GACCGCAAGACGTCAGGTGTAAGTCCAAGATATTTTTCGGCGCTCAAACCAGCACACAATAAATCGTAAACATTATTGCATACTGAGCACGTCATAGAATTATTGTCATTGATGCTGTGGTTACATCCTACACAGACATCCATGTCTTACTATTATTAGAAACAAATAATATCGCAAAAAGATTTCCAAATCTGTGGTTCGAACTCACGAACTGCGGTAGCACAGTACTGACTTATCCGTTGCGCCAAAGCACTTTAGATAGCGAACTCGAAAATAGCTATTAGTATTTTCTTTACTCAATGCCGTAGATATAGTGCGAGACACAATCAAGAGATGGCGCTTTTCGTACAATTATTACAAAGTCACTCTTAAGTCCATGCGTGCACCAATCAAAACGGCATAGCAACCTCTTTCATTTAAATAAAATTAACCGACTCCTTACAGATATTTCACTAACTAGGACAAATGGTCCTGGTTGTCGACACTTCCGCACTCAATCACTTTATGCACAGTTTACAAATGTTTTGGATAAGAGCATTACTTTAATATTCACTCCCTTGTCGATATTTTTTAAATATAGTTCACCCGTTGATATCTTTAATTAACACACTAAAAACTTGATCTTCGATGTAGATAACACTATCACAGGTAAAACGACATATTCCGAACTAAATGTATAAATATTAGACAAAAATACACTGGTTTTTATATTTTGCAACAAATTAAATACGGAGCCACTGTTTATGCTACAGCGCCATCTGTGGAGTGTTCAGACCTCCATTGCCTCTGGTAATGGGCCTCAGAACAATCAACTCCGGGGGGCAGTTGCCCTGCCTCGCCAGCTCCGCCCTTAACTCGTCCGATGTGACCGAGTCGTCGAGTTCGGTCACCCACACTCTTGGTCGGCGTTGATACAGCAATAGAGTCGCCAAACATCCTCTTCAGGCTGGAGGCAAGAAGACTCGCCTGCTCCCCGCTGTCCCCGCCTGGCACCTTCAGAATTCTGGCACCAGTGGCGGCGATTCCCATTTGAACTCCTCCTGAGATGCCCAGCTCCGGTAAGGTAATTCCTCGACGAGCCTTGGTGAGGACCTCTTCATAAGTCACCCCTTTAGACTCTGCCTCAGGGGTGATGGTAACAACCACAGCGGTGGTTTTAGGAACCGCCGCTTTGTGTCTCCCTCTTCTCCGGCGATTTTGGGATGGTTTCAGCGCCTTGCCGGACGCAGGTGTCACGCTGGTTCCGCCGCCTCCCTTCTTCACACTACCTCTCTTATCTCCTCGACTTTTGGTCGCTCTACCGACCACCTGAGCCCAGCTTGCCTCTGGAGCTGGTCTACTAGGAGCAGCAGATCTAGGTTGGTTGCCTGTGTCCTTCGTCGTACTCCCTTTACCTCGGAGAGCCCCCGGTAGGAAGGCGGGAGTTTGAGTTCCAATCACACGTGCAGACTTGCGGATATCGGGATCCGCACTAACAGACTTGTCGGATAATTTAACGACCTCTCGTTTCAACGAATCCACCTCGAGCCTCAGCGCCTCCTTCTCCCCAAAGAGACAGGAAGCCCTCCTCCTCAGCTGCTCTATGAGAGCGGGTAGCATAAAAAACGATAACAAGTCGACCGCGCGGCGGCCGGCGGCGGCGGCCAGCCGCTCGTGCCTGTTGCGAGCCACACTTACAAATGAATCTTGTTTGAAAACAGCTGTGTAACGCTTTTCGTGTAAGTCTTCGACTGACGATTCTTATTTTAAATAAATATATAAAAAGAAAGTTGAAATAAATATAAGAAACACTTAGAAGTGTAGTGAAAAAATATAATCCCGTACTGGGTAAGTTGTGCATTTAACCAATTATTTAATGAGTAGAAACGTTTGAATTATTGTAGTTACTTATTTTACATTTCTAAGTATGCAGCCTTTGCTTAATTAATTTACTTAAGTTAAACAAGAATCACCGTAATATTTCATGATCAATAATAAAAGTCATTATTGATATATATTTTATATTGCTACGCTACCTACGTTCCATGTTTTTTTTTTATTTCATTTAAATGCCATCAGTTTATGTAACCGTTACTGCTTTTTTATTTATAACTGCCACTTCGACCCAGATTAATTAAGAATACTCTCTTCACTCCTGTACTAACTAGCTTTGCTAGATTCTACGATTTAATTGCTAATTTTAACGACCAACGCTAGTGGCAGTACCCGACTTCACTTTCCGGGTAATAATGTGGCATTATTGTGACTTCTTCAGGAACTCCGTACGGATTAAGAAAATCACGCCAACTTTACTTATACTGGGAATTGATATTTGAGAATTGGAGAAGTGCCTTATGGAAACCAGAAATTGAAGCACCGTAGAATTCACAGAGTACAGGGAAGTTCTATCGAGTGATCTACCATCAGACCTCTAAGAAACCTACCCACGACCCTAGGGACTTTGACCTCGATTTTACTTATTGTAAATAAATATTTTTTTTTATACCGTTCCTTTTTTTTTTTCTTTATCACTTAATAAGAAAGGAACGTGTCACTATGTTCCATTTGGTCCGCCACATGGTTGTCCAGGAGCAGCAGGTTGTTCTCATATTATAGCTTCTTTAGGTCTTTCTTCTCCATCATTTCCTCAAGAGCCGACTTCTCTGCCTCAGTGATAACCTCCACCCTCGGAGGTATGGCAATCCTCAAATAATCACACAGGTTACTGCTTGTGGTCATAATCTGTACTATCGTCTGAATCTCCTTCACATTCAGAAAACCCTCATTCTCCGTCTCATTATGCTCACTTGCGCCAGAACAAGGGCCCCTCTCGTCTGAATTTTTATTATTTAAATTTAAATTTGTAGTCTCCATCTTAGTCCCACGAGAATCATGGCAAATACCTCGTCCACCCGTGCAGAGGCCTGATACACGGGCAAGCCTAGGATTGTGAAGGCAGGGGTCGGCCGTTCCCCACCTGTAGGACCTGTAGCGACTCCTTCACCAAGAGCCACTCACCTCCTCGCCCAGGTCAAACTTGAGGTTGGCTGCTTTTTATTTTTATTTTTTTTTATAGGATAGGGGGCAGACGAGCAGACGGATCACCTGATTGTAAGTAATTACCGTCGCCCATGGACACCTGCAACACCAGAGGGGCTACAAGCGCGCTGTCGGCCTTGGAGGGAAGGGTTGAGGGGTAGAGGGAAGGGAATAGGGAGGGGTTGGGCCTCCGGTACCCTCACTCACACGACGAAACACAACGCAAGCGTTGCTTCACGTCGGTTTTCTGTGAGGCCGTGGTATCACTCCGGTCGAGCCGGCCCATTCATGCCGAAGCGTGGCGTCTTCCGCGTCTCCCACGTTTTAAACGTGGACTTCCCCACCCAAGGCCATCCAATGAAGGAAAGCCTCCCCGTCTCCGCTCAGCGCAGAGGTACGGGTCGGCCGGTGGTTGTCCTAAGAAGGACACCCGTCGCTCGTGGCACCACGACACGACGGGCCCACCGCCCTCGCTGGTACGTCCGCTGCCCGGGTTACCCCCGGGACGCCCGCCCAACCCGAACTGCGCTGCCGCTACCCAGCATACGGCTGGGACGCCGGCCCGGAGCCTACCCTCACAAGACTCCTCCCAAAAGGAGGAAACTCCCCAAAGTGCGACCCAGGAAGGGTCTTACCACCCCCCTATGCGCACTCCCCGAACGCGACCCAGAGAGGGTCTTACCTCCCCCCTATGCACGTCCCTCAAGACGGCCCTGAAAAGGGCCAACACGGCCCCTTCCGAAGAGGGGCCGAACCCACCTCCTCCCAGCCCATCAGCCGCTACCCGGAATAAGTCTGGGACGCCTGACGAGCTCCCTCTGTTGCTCGTTAGCGCCACCCGGGGGACACGTGCAGAGTAACTAAGGGCAAAATCCTGCGGACGTGAGCAACATGACCCCCACCTAGATCTAAACTGAGACAACTCAAAAATTTGAGTGAGTTTTGACTTAGTATAATATTCAAATACTCGGTGATCATACGCATCTATCCAACATAACAGATTCAATAAAGATTCGGGGATGAGCCGCTAGATGACTTTAGCTTTCTTTTGTTGAATCAACAGTGGTCGCGCTCCTGCCACGTAAACAAATGTACTGTCAGACCTCCACATTAGTTTTTTGAGTTGTCTTAAGTAGGTTGGAATTGGGGGTTCTGGCTCAGATAAGATCCAGACCCCCCACAATTCCAGCTTTTAATTTATTCATTTTATTTATTCGTTTATCTATTGATCGAAGTTATAATTTTATAAAACATATAATATCATATTATTCATTATTTTCAATAGTAGTAGGTATCTATATTATTTACTCTTGTAAACGTTGTACAGTACAGCACAGTTGGGTTAATAGATTTAATATTATACTTATAATATAACGGTGTCACTTGTTTTATTCACGGTGTTTATCATAGTATTCAATGTCTGTATGTAGGTAACTAAATGGTATAGGTGTTATATGTAAGTATATAATTTCAAACACTGCATGTTATCATGATCACCGCTTCGTAACAAGTGAGCATTGTATCATGTAAACAACATTCTTTTAATGAATTCATACCTACCTAAAGTATTCAGTGACAATGAGATTGATGATTGGGTTCGAGTCCTGTGTTATGGGTACCTACTAAATACTTAATTATCTATGCCTACCGTTTAAGAATCTGTTTACGTTTGATATCTATACGTCAGTTCATGGTAAATAAAGCACTTTTTTTTATTACGACAGGACGAGTTGGCGAGCGGTAATGTTTTACTTGTGTCAAATATTCAACACTGCGACTCCGCCCCGGACTTATCTTCCCTTGTCACGAATGTATCGGAACGTAAGAAAAGAAAGTTTAATGGCGGAGACACGGATTTGCTAAGTTCATTTAAGGAAATGTTCTCATCTTTTTCCATTTCTATGGAAAAACGCATTGATGGACTTTACGACACAATAAATACAATTAAAGCGCAAAACACTGAACTCACAAAATGTATCGAAATGATGTTTAGCAAACATGACGAGTTTTTATCACGTATATCTAAATTGGAACAAGACAAAAAGGAGGATAAAAAAAATATTAGATTATTGGAGGAAAGGTTAGAGGGTGTGGAAAGAAAAAATCGAGCCACTGGCATTGAAATCCGCAACATCGAAAGATACTCGCCACATGAGTCAAAAGAAGATCTATGTAAAACAGTAATTAATTTGGGCAAAATATTAAATGTTAACGTTCAGGAGTCTAATATAAAAGATGTATATAGACTGAAAAATTTGGACTCGTCTAATATAATAATTACGGAGTTTAATTCAGTTCTGCTAAAAGAGAAAATTTTAAATAATGTAAAAGCATTTAACAAAAATAAAACCAAAGAGAATAAATTAAATTCTTCTCATCTACAGCTGAAACAAAATACGAGACCAATTTTCATCTCAGAAACTCTGACACCTAAGACACAGAGACTATTTTTTCTGGCTAGAACATTTCCAAAAAAATTATGGGTACGCCTTTTGTTGGACTTCTCATGGTGTAGTTTACTTAAGAAGAAATGATAAATCTTCGTTCATCAGGATTTTATCAGAAGATGATTTGGTGATGCTACGAAAGAAACAATTACTAGTCCTTAGGTGCAATTTGAATATACACTGTTATTTTTCTTTAAATGGGCCCTTATATGTTTGTTGCATGAATTTTGTTATAGTAGTTAAAACTTTTTATTCTTTTGTAACTTTTCGCATAGAATATAATTTGCTAGGTTTTTGTACACTTTTTTACACAATACCTTACACATCATTTTACATACTTACTTATATATTATTTTACACAACGCACAAGGATACTTTTCTTTTAGTTGCTTTAAATAAATATTGTATTATTCATACAAAATTTTATTGGAATAATATATGTGTTCACTCTTGCCAATTATGATTGATACAAATACTTATAATGACTTGGATTCCGTGTCTACTTCTGCAGCAATTAGGTGTGATCCGGGAAGTGTCAACTCAAATTTTGGATTAATCGATTCAGCTCTTTCAATTATGTCTCAAAATATAAGGAGTATAAAATGCAATTTCTATGGATTTGAGGCAATGGTTGCAAGCTTAGATGTTTCTTGTGATGTCATTATCCTCACAGAATGCTGGTTGTTAGGGTCATCAAATATTTCGCATTTGGATGGCTATATATCATACTATACGGTTAATAATAAGTTACAAAATGACGGAGTTGTGATATATATATAAAGGATTATCTTAATTTTACAGTGGTTGAACCAAATTTCTGTGAGGGTAATTGTTTGCTTTTGACCATGTTGCAGGAATACGCTGTTGTTGCTATCTATCGTTCACCTTCTTATAGAAATTATGAGGTCTTCCTAACATCGCTTGACAATATACTACAGGGCCTTTCTGTGTTTAGGAATGTTGCAGTGATTGGTGATATTAATATTCCTATAAATGTTGGGAAATTAACTATCACATCTGATCGTTATTTATCATTAAATGCTTTTCATGGTCTGCTTCCGGCTCACACTTTTGTTACTCGTGAAGTGAGTAATACGTGCCTGGACCACGTTATGCTTAAAAGTAAAAACCAGTGCACCACTATTGTTGCTAGTACTTCTTTAACAGACCATAGCGCTGTAATTTTGTGTTTTTGTAATGTCAAAATAAAAAATACAATTTCTTCATTTGCTAAAATCAACTATGAGTCACTTTTTTCTGATTTGAGTAATATTAATTTTGGCTATATCTCCGGAATTTTGGATTCTAATCTCGCAATGTCTAATTTTGTTGACAGCTTACAAACTGTTATAAATAAAAACTCTACAATATGTACTGTACCACGGCGTAAAAAAATTATTAAGCCTTGGATTACGCCTGGTTTGCTTAGATGTATAAGAAATAGGGATAATCTGCATAAAAAATCTAAAAAATACCCTAATAATGACATCATTAAAACAACATACGTTAGATATAGAAATCACTGTAATAAAATATTAAAAACTCTAAAAAGAAATTATGAAAGGCAGTTAATCTCAAACGCGGGCAAAAATAGCAAAAAGCTCTGGGATTCTATCAAAACTGTAATAAATATTTCAAAAAATAAAGAACTTCCTAAAGAATTATTAACGCTTTCACATTCACCTGAAGCCTCAGCAAATGTAATAAATAATTACTTTGTCAATGTGGGAAAATCCATCACTGAAAGTCCTGATGGAGCAACAGATATAGTTCCTGCATCAACTACTAATATGTTGGCTAATGGTGACTCCTTTGTCTTACTTGATGTGGACAAGGCAGAGGTTAAGCGATTAATTTTGGGTTTGAAGAGCAGCCGCTCAACAGGGTTTGATGGCATATCTGGTGAATTGCTAAAGAAGTATGTGGATATTTTTGCAGAACCTTTGACTAACATCTTTAATAGATGTCTTCGAGAGGGTGTTTTTCCTGGGGTATTAAAGAGGTCGGTCGTGACGCCAATTTATAAAAGTGGACCTAGAGACGTGGTTGCAAATTATAGACCAATCTCAATACTCACTTCAATATCCAAAATATTAGAAAAGATAATTAATAACAGATTAGTTAATTATATTAATAGTAAAGACCTAATAGCTAGTACTCAATTTGGTTTTCGTAAAGGAAAAAGTACTAATGACGCTGTTTTCTGTGTCACCGAATTTGTTTCAAATTGTCTAGATAAAAATAAAAAGTACTTAGCTATTTTTCTTGGTATCGCTAAAGCGTTTGATACAGTGTCTATTCCTATATTGTTATCTAAACTTGAATCAATTGGAATACGTAGTACCCAACTAAAACTGTTTGATAGTTATTTATCTGATAGATACCAGTGTACAAAAATTGGTCATCACATTAGCAATAATCTAAAATTAACTTGTGGCGTGCCCCAGGGGAGTATACTTGGTCCTACCCTCTTTCTTATTTATATTAATGGTCTTCTCCAATTAAAATTTCCTCAGAGCAAAATTGTATCATATGCTGATGACACTTGATATGCTGATGACACTTGTTTACTTTTATATGAACAGAATTGGAAATCACTTTTCAATAATGCACAGAGTGCACTAAACAAGGTAGGTGGATGGCTTATAGCAAACAAGTTGTCGATCAATACAAATAAAACCAAGTATATCCAATTTTCCATTAGAGATGCCATAGCCACTTCTAGCGACCACTCAATTGTATATCACAACTGCCAATCTAATTTAGCGGATTGTAGTTGTGGTTTCATTGAAAAGGTAAATTCTATTACATATCTTGGAGTAAAAATAGATAAAAATCTAAATTTTCGGGAACACATTGAAGCACTTTGTTCTAAATCTAGGCGTCTGATTTTTATCTTCAAAACACTCAGACATATACTTCAGCCTTTTCAACTTAAGCGTGTTTATTATGCTCTTTGTCAATCTATTTTCACTTATTGCATTTTGAGTTGGGGTGGGGCATCCAAGAGTATACTGAAGAGATTAGAGACTACTCAGAGAGCGATTTTGAAAGTTGCAACTTTCAAGCCTTTCCTGTTACCAACGATAGAACTGTATCAGTTTTGTGAGGTACTTACAATTAGGCAGTTGTTTGTGTTACAAATTATTTTAAAACAACACTCTATTCTAACCTATAATCCGCAAATTGAAACGGTTCGAAGGAAGCGCACGGTGTGTAGGTGGAGGGAGGGATGTGACACTGCGTTTGGGGGTAGATTCTTCGGTTATTTGGGTCCATTTGTTTACAATAAGGTGAATAAAATATTAAACATCTATCCCTTAACTAAAATAGAATGCAAAAGAAAAGTATCAAACTGGCTACAGACACTTTCATACGAGGAAACCGAGAACCTCATGACTTCGGTGCTATGACGTTAGTAACTTATATAATTTTATCTATTATCTTTCACACTAACACACACTCACATACACACATGCATGAACACACTTTCAGTTTTTATTTCAACTCAAAATTAAGTTATATATTTACAGCTCATATTGTCATATAAGGAAATTAATAGTGAATTCTATGGGTTCTATGGGGATTTTTAGGGCGCTGTACGCTGGAATACAGGATGTCTTTTCCTACTTCGGCAACAGAGGATTAATTTAAGTTGTTACCTATTTTTGTAAATTAACTAAGTTAAGTTAACTAAGTTAAACAAAATAAAGCTAATGTAAGGTGTTATCTTTATAAAAGTTTTCTCAAAGTTCTCATGACATGATCTCTAATATTTATGGTAAATGAAATACATAACAAACAATAAAAACAAACTTATTTATTATTTAAACTGGTTTTATTAATATAACAGTATAAGTTACATTTTCTCCATATTTTTATGGATTTTTGCCATTAAATTTTTAGCTGAATTATAAATGTCATCAAATAATAGTTGGTCAGTATCCACTACATACTGCATGCAAATATTAGCATCACATTTACAGATTAATTCGTTACGCGAATTGACAAATTTATCTATATCATAAATCTCCAATCTCACAATTTTGCTTCCCTGTTTTGGTATTTTTATATAAGAATAATATATTTCATTTTCCTTCTTTTTCTTCGAGTTACTACTGCCTTCAGTAACACCATTTTCATGTTGTTGCATGTAGTTGCTCACGCGTTGTGCAAGAATAGATTGGTTTCTTGTTTGAATAGGTTGGAATGGAAAGATGTCCCCAGAATCCTAAAAAAAAATATCCAATATGAATACTATCATATAATAAAAGAAACAAAATAAAAGAAACGATTTAAAAATATATTAAATAGCTTCATTTAATATCAGGAAATCGAATCCAAAACAATGTGTTTGAATATATTCTAAATAGTTTGATCTTTTTAATAGTTAAAATATAAAACATAAAATATGTTTCCTGTTTGAATAATAACAAATATAAAATACAATTTATATAACATTTCAATCGTTTTATATTTAAACAGCGGAACTCGTTTAAAAATATGATGTACTTACCGACATTATGGAACTTCAATTATGCTTTTATTAACCACCTCGGGAATATTGAAGTAAAATTCTCTTTTTCCCTATTTATATACATTTTCAAAGGTTGCAATAGAGTTCAAAATTGCATTCATTTACAATAAAAAAAATTGTCTTACAAATATGGGAAGGTGAAATAGGAACTCAAGACGGATCGACGCTTGTTCTGTATTGTTTACTCGTACCATGATTATAATAAAAATAATTTGTAATATTGTTTGTTCATTGGTCTGTTTTATGATCTGTTGTTATGTTATGATTAGTATAATATTAGCAAGACGCGTCTAGCTATGAAACTAGTATGTGTGTTTATTTTTAATACATATTAAACTAATGTATCGCATATCGTCTTTATTAGTGATTGTCTAAGGTTGAATTTCAAATTTTTTGTGATGCATGCATGTCATCCATATCCTATTTTTGGTGTCCTCCATCTGAATTGGCAAAAATATGTAACAAGCACAATCCCTATATGGATAAGAATCACGTGGAATCCATAATATTTAAGGGCGCTCCGAAGGCTTCAGCATCATTGTGTTCTCATGAAGCAAAGCTCAGACTGTAGAGTTCGACATCAACGAGATTGTAAATATTCTGAAAATGTAAGTTTTTTTAATTATTTATTTATTTAAAATGAAATAGGGTAAATATGAATCTTGTGATTAGTATAACGCAAGTATTCATTCACTCGTATTTTCATTCAATAAACATTGAAATGATAACTCTGAATTAGTAGTGATTAGTGAAAAATTTGTGTTCTATTTATTTCTTGAGTTAAAACTAAAACAAGAGTGTAAACAGAATTCAGTTTTTATATTATAAACTAACTAATAATAATAATATCAATTTACTATACAAATTAGTTTTGGAATATATCTAATAATAAAAATACTTAGGTAACTAACAGTAACAGTACTTAATAACTGAATAGCTGGTTACATTTTCAATCGAAGTGTGTTCAGAATATATTTTCATTGATTTTAATGTCAGGTTTATACTCAACACCACATCAGGTTACCACGATATGTCGATTTTCCATAATTAATTTTGAACACTCAATAAATTAATGTTAAAAGTCAAATGGAGAAATTTGACAGATATGTATAACCTCATGTGTTGTTGACTATACCTAGGTTAGGTTTAGGTTACCTTACCCGACCAATAAGAATCACTTGCAGGGTGGGTTACCTATATTAATAATAATAATAATAAAAATATTACTTAAATAGTTTCAAAGTATTTTATTTAATTACAGGTCTTTCAATCCATCAAACGCGGACTATCTGTTCCCATCAGATGATGACGTTGATGATCAATCCCCACAACAGCAGCAGCAGTCCATACAAAAAAAGAAACGGAAGCATTCACCAGTGGCGGGTACATCGACAGCGAGTCCTGCTCCAGTTCGAGCAGTTACTGCCCTAGCGCAGTCAACAGGGGAGAAAAAAAAGAAACATATTATAAACCCGGTGGCTATGAAGAAGCCAACAGCTAACAACCTTTTCGGTAGTGACAGTGAAGACGAGGTTTCGCCGCCAACATCAACAACACAGCCGGGTAATAAACCTATTCACTCATATATTTTTTTCGGCGGTAGGCGTGAATTAAACAACATCAATTGTCTGAGTTAATTTTATTTTAAAATTAAAATAATTGCTGTATTTCTTACAACAACTAGCTTAAACCTTTATTTATAATTCATTTCATTGCATATATTGTTAGTAGAACAATCTAATGCATATTTAAGGAAGTGACCTGCACTCACCTGCTACTCCAAGTTACAGTTACAGTTTTGTTTATTTAATATCTACTGCACATTTCAACTTCACTATGGCCAGCGTTGAAGCTGTTATTGAGACACAGAAGTCACTTGAGTCTGCTGTGATGCTCAGGATGAAGGAGTTTGAAGCTCTTCTTAAATCATCCCCTTAGACAAGGACAAGGTACCACAAGTGCGGGATGAGTTTGAGTCCTTTAAGAAGATTGTCTGGAGTATACTATCCCTCCTAAGACAGCAGATTGGTGAGGTCTCGAAAGCACTGGATGGGCAGGAAGCGAGGCATCGGAGCAAGCATCTTCTTCTCTGTGGAGTCCCCGAGAAACCTGATGAGAACTTAAAAGCTACCGTTATAACTCTGCTGCAGAAACACCTAGGCATCAGAGACTTGGATCCCTCATCTTTTAAGTCATGTTACCGGCTGGGTGCCCTTGCTGAGGGCCGTTCTCGTCCTGTTGTTTTCCGGTTCTCTGCATATAGTTTGCGTGCCAGCACTTGGAGGAATAAGACTAAACTCAAGGGATCCTCTTTGGTGCTGCGTGAGTTCCTTACTAAGGCACGTCAAGCAGTATTCCATACAGCACGGAGTCACTTTGGTATTTCAAATGTTTGGACAGCCGATGGGAATGTTATAATAAAAACTCCAGATGGTGGACGTCTAAGGGTTGCCTGCAGCGATGAATTGACTAACGTTATGAACCAGTTCCCCAATTCAGCATCAGTAAGCAAGGCTTCGGCAGTGCTGCCTGTCGGTGGTGAATTGTCTACGGGTGTGCCATCTGCATCTTCATCTCGGTCAATGCAGTCAAGATCTAAGCGCATTGTTAAGGGTGTCAAGTAACATGCATATTTTAAAACAAAGGTACTTTTTTCAGTTTCTCCTGGCAACAATTTCTCTTAGCTTTGCCAATAACTTTGTTTATAGCTCCTATGTTGCTGCTTGTTATTTAGTTTAGTTTTATCAATTATAATTTATTTATGTACACAATCACTGCTTGCTGTAGATACCCACTTTTTATTTGTTTATGTTTATTCTTATTATGCTTAAGCTTGGGGCAGTATTGCTTTTTGTTTCAATACTACACACATTTTCTTTTATTTTTTGTTTGGCATTAATTGTTACAATTTACAATAACATACCGCTATCAATCTTGAATATTATGACATATGTCACCTGTAACTCCAATCTGTCATTGTTGTTGTGGCGAAGGGATTTTATAGCTCATACAGCCTATTGTCAGTGTTAAAATGTGCCGTCTTAAACGTAGCTTTTTTTTTTTAGTAAGTCGTTCGTTTGCAAAGGAAGCTAGATATTTCCATAAATATATGCGGTTTTAGTTAAATTATATATATGTAATATGTTATTTTGATTTCTTTTTAATATTATAGTAGTTTCTTTGCTTTTGTTTTGAACAACGTTTAGGTGACCAACATCAATTATTTTAAATTTAATTTTAACTATTATTATCGCGTTTGTAATGCTTCCTTTGTAGCGATATTTTAGCTTTTATTATGTAACTTAATCTTTACACAATGATTGTAAACCTTTCAACCAGGGAATAGTGCAGGTCATTGTTATTAAATTATTTGTGTTTATAATATATTTTATTTGTTTTATTATATATAGGTATTTATATATATATATATATATATATTGTTATAATAATTAAACCTCATTGTAATGTCGGATTCAAGTATATATTGCTCTGCTAGTGATGTGAACTCCTCATTTAATTCAATCGATACTTCTTCTTTGGATGGTGACGATTTGAGTGCACGGATTGCACTCGAACTTGGTTTATTTCCTGAATGCTTAAAAGTTTGTCATATTAATGCTCAGAGTGTTCCATGCCATTATACAGATCTTCTTAACACCTTCTACAGCAGCCCAGTTCAAGCTATTCTTGTTTCGGAAAGTTGGCTGAAACCTTGTCTAAATTCTATTTCTTATGATCTTCCTAACTTCACACTGATTCGCAACGATCGTGCTGGCAAGGGTGGCGGCGGAGTAGCCATCTATTTAGCGCATAGTATTCCCTTTAAATTAATTGCTTCCTCGTCTTCTAATTACGGTTGTATGGAATACCTCTTACTCGAGATTGATGTCAAAGGCACCAAAGTGCTTTTGGGCGTTGTTTATTGCCCCCCTTCTATTCCTTTTCTTACCGATTTTGAATCTCTCATTGACTCTTACATAACTGGTTACGAACATCACATCATCATGGGCGACTTTAATACGGATCTTATAAAGGATACCCCCTCCTCTAAAAGGTTTCGATCGATCATCGAGTCCGCGAACTTCTCTATTTTACCTCTCAGTCCGACACATCATAATCTCGCGACTGATGACTCTTGGATCGACCATATTATCATATCTTCACTTGATCGTGTTGTTAAACATGGTCAGGTGCCTGCACCTGGCTTCTCCAGACATGACCTTATCTTTGTCGTCTACAAAGTTAAGCCTCCCAAGGTTAAGCCGAGGATGGTTCGCATGAGGAATTTCGCGCGATTGGATGTTGGGGCGCTTATGAGGGATGCATCTGTAATTGATTGGTGTTCTGTATGCAATGGCGCCACAGTAAATGAAATGGTTACCAGATTTAATAACGTAATCCTCAAGCTTTTTGACGATCATGCTCCAGTCAAGACTGTTAAGTTGAAACGACCTCCTGCACCATGGATTACTCCTTTTGTGCGCATTATGATGCGTAGACGTAACAAGGCGTTCCGTATCTATAAAAGATGTCGTACTGATACAAACTGGGAGGTATTTAGACATGCCAGAAACAGGTGTAACCAGGTGATAAGAAGAGCCAAACGCCATTACATTCACAAAAATATTATTAGCTCCTCCCCAGTGGAAATGTGGAGGTTCCTGAATTCTCTGGGCCTAGGAAAGTCTCGCGTTCAGCCTTCTTGCCCTTTCGCTTTAGACGATCTCAACCGTCATTTCTCTCCTGTTACTACTTTACCTGTCAATGTTAAGTTCCTCAGTTTATCCAAACTTTTTTCTACGACTATATCCCCTAGTTATCTCTTCTCTTTTACCCCTCTCACCGAAGATGACACTCGTAAGTTGATTGCCTCTATAAAGTCCAAGGCTATGGGACCCGACAACATTAGCAGGAATATGGTGAATCTCATACTTGATGCTATTCTCCCGACACTAACCTCAATACTTAACCACTCTTTATCATCTGGTTCCTTCCCTGACGCCTGGCACAGGGCTTACACTATTCCTCTTCCTAAAATTTCCTACCCTGACTCCATGAATCATTATAGACCAATTTCAATTTTGCCTTTCCTCTCCAAGGTTCTCGAAGCCGCTGTCCATAAACAACTTTCATCCTTTGTTTTTCGTTATCAGCTCCTTTCCCCTTTCCAATCAGGATTCCGCCCGGGTCATAGCACTTCCACTGCCCTTATTAAAATCGTTGACGACATTCGTGACGGTATGGAGAACTCTCGTTTAACTGTGTTAGTATTACTTGATTTTTCTAACGCTTTTAACACAGTTGATTACGATATCCTCCTTGCTCTTCTCTCTCAGCTTGGCTGTTCTTCATCCGTGCTCGCTTGGTTCTCCTCTTATCTTCATGGACGCCAGCAGGCAGTACGAGTGGGTAATTCAGTTTCTAACTGGTGTAACTTGTTTGCTGGTGTCCCTCAAGGCGGTGTGCTCTCTCCTCTTCTATTTTCTATTTTTATAAACTCCCTCACCTCTGTTCTTACAACCTCTTATCACCTGTACGCCGATGACCTGCAGATATATGCTCAGGATGACATTCACAACCTTAATAGAGCCATATGTACACTGAACCAAAATCTTGCGCGGATATTTGAATGGTCAAATAACTTCGGTATTTATGTCAATCCCAACAAATGTCAGGCCATTATTATCGGTAGCTCCCGACAAATATCGCAAACTAACCTCGACACTATTCCAGCTGTTACCTATGCTGGCTCGGTGATTCCTTATGCTGCTAAGGTAAAAAATCTTGGGCTTGTTCTTGACAGTACTTTGCACTGGGATGATCAGATGGACAACGTCTGCAGTAAAATCCATCGCACCCTCGGCTCGCTTTATCGACTAAAGAACTTTCTCCCTCCCCGTACTAAGTCTGCTCTCGTCCAAGCTCTTGTACATCCCCTTTTCGACTATGCTGATGTTTGTACTTCTGACATCAATCAAACCTTTCTTAATAGATTGGATCGTCTTCTGAACAATACTATTCGTTTTGTTTTCGGTCTGCGCAAATACGACCACATCTCCAATTTTCGTCAACATCTTGAGTGGCTTCCTATTCGGGAGCGTAGGTGCTTAAGGATTGTTTGCACACTTTTCCAGATACTTTTCGATCCACGAGCACCTGAGTATTTGAAATCGCGGTTTGAAATCCTCGGTGCCTCTCACCTGAAAAATCTTCGTTCTAGTAGTAGACTGGTACTCCAAACCCCTTCTCATCATTCCTGTTTTGTATCTCATTCCTTCACTCTAACCGCCATCCGTCTTTGGAATGCACTGCCTTTGAACGTCCGGAGTGCTCCTAACAAATTTGCATTCAAGACAGCAGCTCGCAACTTCTATTATGCTTCAAACAAGATTTCTTGATCTGACACCTTTTTCGTACGATGTGTTATAGCTATATGTATGCATTTATTTATGTATGTATATGTATGTTTATTATTGTATGTATTTTATGTATATTTAGATATAGTTCTTATGCAGAGATATCAATAGCGTATTGTCGCCAATCGCCGCTTTAATTAATGTACTAAATTTACTGGTTGACTGGTAGAGAATGCCTCTTTGGCATTAAATCCGCCATTTGTCTATTTCACTAGGCAATTAAGATTAAATAAATAAATAAATATTACGAGAAGGCTTGCAAACGGATATTCTCGTCAAGTAGACGATGCAAAACGAGGAACACACTACATAGATTTACGAGTTTATAGGTGCGATGAGATCGAACGCGTACAACCTATGAATCGATGGCGTCACTCAATTGTTTATGTGAAAACTAGAACTGATGATAACACAGAGGCGTGGCAACATCTAACCAATTTTATATCAGCTACTCGTAAAGAGTATCGTAACTGCTCCCCCACTTTTATCAGTAATTATTATTAAATTTAAAAAGTTTAAGCTTATACATTACTCAGACTTTAGGCTTTCGTATACTGTTTAAATTTCGTAAATAATAATTACTGACAAAACATGGCCTATCCTCCTTAACCATCCATAAGGAAGGCCTGAGCCCCTGCAGTGGGGACGTAAAAGGGCTGATGATGAATAAGCAATGAAAGTTATAACATAATTTTAGTATATGTATAATTTTTATAATTTTATAATAAAAAGATTTACTTACTAGTATGAAAATGTATATTTTCGATTAGATAATAAGGCTTAATCTTAACAAATATATAATTAGTAATATCTTTTGTTTTTTTTGTGTTTTTTCCAGTACAACATAGCTCTGATTCAAGAAAATGTGAATACTGTCAAATTGAAATAAATAAAAATGAATACCGATACCATTTGAGAACAAATTTGCATAAGTCTAATTGTCTGTTGAAATCAAAATTTGAAGATATTGATATTATAGCTACGGCATTTAAAAATAGAATAATTACATATAGACTTAATCCCTTGGAAGAGTACCTTACACCAGAGGCATTCCTAGTGGATAATGAGAAATATATTTTAGATATTATAAATGACTGTCTTCTAAAACATGATTGTATTAAATTGAACGTTGAGTTGTTTGCTTATTTTATGAGACCGATGGTAAATGAGCATCAACTTAAATAATTTAATACAAAATATGTAATAAT